AAGAGAAGCACTCTGGGCATTTTTAAATGAGAAAGATTTCGGTGCTTTTCTTCTGTCATGATTTGGAAAAAAAGTTGAAAACGTCATGATTCGCTGCTACGATTGGCTGAAAGCATATTATGGAAGGTCGGTACTAGCTGGCATATCACCCAATCAGCTCAAAGATTTGTACTTTACATCCCTCCTTTTCACGGACAGACTGACTGGCAGCCATCCCAGATTGATAACGTGGAACTTAACTCAGGTCTACACCTATCAATCCGGCTACTGCCATGTTATACTCTACCTGCTACTGGCACTAAGCTTCTTCCATCCTCCTATTAACTCATACTCTATACCTTGTTGAAGAAAAGCATGCCCTCAGGCTGATGCTGCCACCTACGTGTTTCAAGCTGTTCTGTCAATAGATTCTCCCACCTTTCTAGAATGACATTGGACCTCTTGTGTTCTTCTTATACTTACAGATTATTGCTGAATCCTATTAGTTTTGGTAGTTAGTGTGTTGGTAGGTTTGTAGTCACACTCCTCAATCTTCTAAGGAACTGTTTAAACGACGTTGTTTTATAACCTTACCCTCCTTAAACATCTCCACATCTATCTATTAGACGTGTCTGTGTTAAGGCCTGTTTTTCTGGCTGCTGTTTTTTTCAATAATGTTCCCTAAGAAGCCCCTGATTCCTCCATAAAACAGATTAAAATAAACAGTGATTACTGAATTAGACAGATTTTAATTATAAAGCTACTTGTTAAGATATTAGACTTCAATAGATTGTATTTAGGGGTATCATCATAAAACGAGGGGATAAATTAATATGTTTACAACCTTTTCAAGATTTAAATTGGAAATTAATAATAAAAACTACTTTTTTTCCGATCTACCCATACATATTTGCTCTCTTAGTTTATCCAATACATTGAGGTTTCAGATCCCACTCCAGGGGGTATCAACATGTAATTCAAGGCACTTTATACGGTTATATTTTCAGGTCGATGATATATGCATGAATCCTGTGGATCTTCCCTCTGTTAGCAGATGGAGTAAAGGCATCTTCACAGACACAAGACGACCTTCTTCATTTAACAAGCCTTCCTGTCGGAGCACAGCTGTGCATCTTTTCTCCTGACTATAACCTAATGAACGCTGAAGGATTTATATAGGATGTCTTTATGAAGGCGTCAAGCTTAGCTACAAGCTGGCTGTGGTTAAGAGGGTGGGGGTGGGGGCCGCATACTGACAACAATCTTATATTTCAATACTCCAGTATAAGAGTGTCTTGAAACAATCAATACATTCATGAATAAACAATGTAATTTAAGCAATAAAAAAACACTGACTGAGGCGTCAGTATTCATGGATGTATCTTTTGATTGGCTTTGTCAGTGTAATAATGAATAATTAATAAAAAAAAATCAATCTCAGTCAGACACTTTGATTGGTTTGCAGATAAAGATCCCTGAAGCACCAGTGGCCCTTACTTATAGTGTTTCAGACAGAAAACTGGCAGAAAGAAAAGGGGAAGACGAGCAGGAGAGGTCAGGAGTCAAACCAAATTATCAACCACCAATAGCAACACCACAGAGATATGAAGAAATATTTTCAAATCAACCTTAAAGAAAGGTCAACTAACACACTGAACACAGATGTGACCGTTATTTTTTGGTGATTCAAACCAATCGGGATTATTCTCATACTTCTATGTAACGGACCCCACTTGATTCTGGGTTTGATTTCACATCTTAGTAAAAGTAGTTTGTTCGTCCAAAAATGCTTATTCTGTTTAAAATCTACAGAACTTAGGTTGAAGTAGCACAAGTGATTCTCCTCCCTCTGTGTTGTTCTGCAGACAGAGATCCCCGAGTGTATTCCCCTGCTGCCAGGGAATACACTCTCTGTACATTAAAGGCAGACTTGACATGGTTATCATCTAAACAGCAGAGCGCAAGCCTTCAGCAGAACATTGTTCTGATTATCAATCTGTTACCAATATTTCCCCTTCTCTCCTACAGTGCATCATATGGCCGTGTTCTCCAAAGAAGAAAATGTAACATTTAAATAATGTAAATTTAAATCTGATTCATAGTTGATTTTGATGTTTTAGGGCTTGTTCTCCTTTCTATTATCATGATTGGTTCTGAATCAAACCCACATGCAGAACACTACCAGGAGACGGATGAAAAGTTTAACAGAGTTTATTAAATGTTTGCACAAAATAAGACTGTGTTCAGGAAACAGGTCCGGGCTGGATTCTCAGGCGTCTGCAGAGATGACAGTTTGGTTAACCAGGTGGATTGGAAGCGTTGTTTAGTTTTCAGATTGTTGCAGACTATACCTTGGAGAGTTTCTGGCTTTCTTCTCAGAGGGGGGGAACCGGTTGGGTCCAGAGACTGTTGGCTTGACAGAGTGCTCAGCAGGTGCAGCGTCTAACTTCTGACTGTTGGATCAGACCTTGGATTGAGGGGTTAGCTCTCCTTCCGAGAGCAGCAGGTGGATTCCAAAGTGAGATCTTCAGGTTTGGCTCTCTAGGGCAGGCAGGCAGATGCAGGTTAAGCTCTCCCAGAGCTTCACACGAGAGACAGGTTTTCCTAGGAGCGACAAGACAAAGGCTGGTTAGAATTAAGTTTTCTCTAGGGGACAAAATTAAAAAACGAGGAGGCTCAGGTTCGCTAACCAAACTTAGCTAACACTGCGGCGTCGAAGAAAGGTCTGGCATCTGCTTAAAGGAATAGTACACCCAAAACATGATTAGCCTTCATTTTCTACTCACCCCCATGCTGAACAACACTCTGGAGTACTTTTTTGATATCTCAAATGCATCTGGAGATCTGGGAGGCTTCTTGCTGTCTGCTGACATTCAAATAATGGAGGTCTATGGTGCCCGAGGCAGAAAGGTCCATAAAAGTCCACAAAAAACGTGTCAATATTCCTCCATACTGGTCGTCCAATGTATTCCAAGTGTCCTGAGTGGGTAGCATCCAGAATTTACTCGAAACGAAGTCATTTAGAATGTTTTTAGAGCATAAACAGTAGTGTATAGGATTTCCTGAAAGCGCGCACATGCGCGATCACGACGCTTCGGAAGCCGGCAGACCAAACCAGATGAAAGTGCGCATTCAGCGTCTGCTCTTCCAATAATGCAAGCGTAGAAGAAGAAATGTGCCGTTTACCTGTGCAAAGAAAGAAACAACGAAAGAAAAATGTCTGAGGACTTCAGTGTTGAGGAAGAGCATGAGTTCTTTGCCGAGCTGAATGCGCTGGTTTGGTCTGCCGGCTTCCGCAGCGTCGGGATCGCGCATGTGCACACTTTCAGGAAATCCTATACACTACTGTTTATGCTCTAAAAACATTCTAAATGACTTAGTTTCGAGTAAATTCTGGATGCTACCCACTCAGGACACTTGGAATACATTGGACGAGCAGTATGGAGGAATATTGACACGTTTTTTGTGGACTTTTATGGACCTTTCTGTCTCGGGCACCATAGACCTCCATTATTTGAATGTCAGCAGACAGCAAGAAGCCTCCCAGATCTCCAGATGCATTTGAGATATCAAAAAAGTACTCCAGAGTGTTGTTCAGCATGGGGGTGAGTAGAAAATGAAGGCTAATCATGTTTTGGGTGTACTATTCCTTTAAGTAGAGGGTCCTCTAAT